TGGTCTGACCACTGAGCCTTGGGCCATCGGTGTCACTTTGTGGCCAGGCTACCCCATCAAAATACGGTGTTGTTCATGGCTGCCTTCTGGTTAAACAGTGGTACACTTTCATTGTGGAAGGTACGGGAAGTAGGCAGGAAAAACATCCCTTGTAATTTCACCCAGGAATAACCTGTGAAATACCTGCTGTTTATATTTTCCCCCAACAAAATCAGGATCAGACTGTGGAAACCATTTTGGGTTCTAGTTGCCCAATCAAACATTATTTAATAAACATTTTAAAATAAAATTTAAAGCCCTGGAAACACATGGTATTTGCTGCAGCTGCAGACGGTCACATCCTGTGGCTGTTCCCTGGTTTATTCCAAGTCTCGGCCACTTGGAAGACACTGTATCCACCTTGCTCAGAGCTGCCTGAAAACTCCAAATCTCCTCCAAACTTCTCAGAAAGTTGAGTGACCCTGCTCTCCTACCATTTTAAAGGGTGAACAGGATGCTTTCTTGAAAAAAAATTTTTTTTCTTTATTGATTTTTAGAGAGAGAGAGAGAGAGAAACATCCATGAGAGAGAACATTGATTGGCCGCCTCCTGCATGCTCCCTACTGGGGATCGGGCCCACAACCTGGGCATGTGGCCTGACCGGGAATCGAACCAGCGACCTCTTGGTGCAGGGTCGACACTCAACCACTGAGCCACACCAGCTGGACTGGATTCTTAGCTTTCTTCCAACCTGCTCCTTCTGACCCATTTCCATCCGTTCTTCCCGCGGAGTCACTCTGCACCCAGCGCAGGGTCCTCTGGGAGGGACCCGCCATCCCTTCCTGCATCTGCCTCGTACCCTGAGTCTGCGTCCCCCTTCCCCACAGGTGGCTTTCTGCCTTCCTCAGACCCTGGCTCACTTGGGGAAACGTGACCAAGAGAAAACACCCCCAAATGACAGAGCTACAGCCCTGCCCCGGCGGGCGTGCACGCCAGTGATGGCCTCGTGCGATGATGCCTTCACCTTGTGGGGAGACGGAGGCAGGCTCTGCAGGCTGCGTGACGTCGAGGGAGAGCTGAGGCAGGCCGGCGAACACTCGGCACGCTATCTGTCTAACCCTCGCCATAGCCCAGAGAGGGAGGGAGTGACAGATCAGGAGGCAGGGGTTGGAAGGGTCCCCCACCGCCCTGCCCAGTAACATAACCCTTGGCACCTATGAGTGTGACCCAATTTGGAACTAGGTTCTTTGTAGAGACAATCAAGTTAAGGTGAGATCATGTGGATTCGGCTAGGCCCTGGTCCAATGACTGGCGTCCTTAAAGAAGGAAATCTGGACACAGGGACTCCGCGGGGGGGAGGCCATGTGACAGTGGAGGCAGAGATTGGGGTGACGCTGCCACAAGCCAGGGAGCCCCAGGGACTGCCGGCACCACCAGAACTGGTAGAGAGGTGAGGAGGGTTCTCCCCTCGAGTCCGCAGGCTCTGCTCACACGCTGACTTCTGGCCTTCAGAACTGAGAATAAAATCCGGTTGTTTGCAGCCCCCACGCTTGTGGTCTTTGCTATGGCAGCCACAGGGCACTGAGACAGTGTGTAGCTCCCACACTCGGGGGGCAGAGAAACCCCAGAGGGTTCAAACCCAGTCCTGCCGGGCTCTTCCCAGGACAGACGGCCCCTGGATGACCCTCATCCTGCTGGCAGAAGCTGGGCAGCGCAGGAGGAGGGAGCAGCCTCGCCCGGAGAGGGGATGGCATAGCAGGAGGCGGGCGGGGACCTCTGGACGCTTCCCAGGGTTCCCATTCCGGACGGGTGGGCCTGTCTGAGGCGAGCAGGCGACATATAAACAGAAGGAACATGTCAGTGTGGTTCCTTCCCAGCCGGTGACTGGTCAGCCCACCGCATTTATCAGGCTGGCGGGCAGCCTTGGCCCCGGAGCCAGCGTTAGCTTCCATAGTGCTGGGCACTGTGTCCACGCTGCCACCCCTTCCTGCAGGCCTGTCAGCGCCCACGGGACACACAGCAGCATCTCTGGCACCTACCAGCGGCAGTGAGAACGGGCAGGTCAGCCCGCCAGCGACCACCACGTAACATTTCCTTCTGTCCCATTCCCACGGGCAAGTCCAATGCATTTGGAACTTTTAAAAAATTACTTTTGCCCGGCCGGTGTGGCTCGGTGGTTGAGCATTGGCCCAGGCACCAAGAGGTCACGGTTCGATTCCCAGTCAGGGCATGTGACCAGGTTGTGGGCCCGATCCCCAGTGGGGGGCGTGCAGGAGGCGGCCCGTCGATGTTCTCTCTTGTTGATGTTTCTATCTCCCTCTCCCTCTCCCTTCCTCTCTCTCTCTCTCAAATCAATAAAGAAAAAAAATTTTTTAATTTGCTTTTAAGGAAAACAGCAGAAATTACCCCGGGCTCTCACTGCCACGAAGAGCCGCCAGGTGCTGAGGAGGCTGCCGCGTCTCGCTGCTCCTCCGGGCGCCGCCGCCTCGCCCGCGCACCTGCCCCTTGTTCCCCAGCGACGGCCACGTGTGCTGCCAGGTCTGAGAAACCGTGCCAAGGACAGATGCCTGCCACCTTTTTGTCATTTTAACTTTCTTTCTCTCAGTGGGGAGGAGGCTTGGTGTGTAGTAGGTGCACTGCGTATAAATGTGCACACACATGCACGCGCACACGCTCACACACGAACACGCGTGCGCACACACACAGATGTACACGAGTGTCCCCGTTCCCCCGTTCCCACCACACACACATGACTTTCTCCTCTTACATGATTCTTTGGGGGAGCAACCAAACTCAAATTCATTGACTCGGTTGGCGAATGTCTCAGCCCAACATGGACCAGTCGCCAGGGCCAGCCCCAGGGTGCGAGAGGACCTGGGAAATTATTGTTTTCGGGTGCCTATCTACATAAACGCTGAGTCACCTCAGTCCGCCTGGGCAGTTGGAAGTTCCTTGGGAGCCGCAGGGCCGGGGCAGGCCTGGTGGCCAGGACCCTCCTGTGGGTGGGTGTCAGAGCCGGGGAAGGCGCAGGGCATGGGCCGGCCTGGTCAGCCTGAGTCCACTCGGTGGTGACTGCAGGTGGACATCTCCCCCTCGTTCTCAAAACTGACCCCCAAGACCAGCCCTCAGACCCCACTGCCGTCTCTCCCTGACGGTGATGGTGTGTCCCTCCCTGGCCTCCAGTCTCCAGTGTGGCCCATCCTGCAGACTCCCCGGAGCTCCTCCGCCCAGGCCCTGCCTTGCCCCGGCCTCCCAGCCTCCCTGTGCACCTGGCAGCCCTCTCCCCCACCCCTGAGCTCTCAGGCCGCCTGCTCGACGGCCACGGGGCCTCTGCCACGCTGCCCCTGGTGTGGATGCTGCCTCGTTGGACCTTCATCTGGCTCACGGCATGGACCACCTGACAGGACCCAGGGCCGCCTCCTCCAAAAAGCAGGTCACAAAGGCGGTGGCTCCCAGCTGCCTGTCAGAGGTGACCCTGGAGCCGCCCAAGCTCTTTCTGCAGGTTCCCAGGTGCCTTGTGTGACCACACGCAATACAGGATCACGTGCTTCACAACAATCCTGCATTCCTGGCGTTTCGAGGGGGTGGGCCGCAAGCACCTGACATCCACACGGGCACCAGACACGCTTGAGGACAGGAGGGAGGGGGGGAGGGCAGGAGCCAAGGGACAGGCGGTGCCATGGCAAGGGACAGGCGGTGCCATGGCAAAGGCCAGGCTGTGCTGTGGGTTGACTCCGGGGCCACGAGGAAGGCCCAGCTTTGGCACAAACAGGGGGCCACCATGTGTTTTTATTGTTGTTGTTAATCCTCAGCTGAGGATCTTTTCCCATTGATTTTTAGAGAGATGAGGGGAGAGGGAGCGAGAGAGAAACCTCAATGTGAGAGACACCGTGATCAGTTGCCTCCCACATGACCCTGGCTGGGGCTGGGGATTGAACCTGCAACCCAGGTAGGTGCCCTTGACTGGGAATCGAACCTGAGACCCTTCAGTCCATGGGTCGAAGCTCTAACCGCTGAGCCAAGCGGGCCAGGGCCACCAAGTGTTTTTAAAAGAAAGGGCAGGCACACAGCCTGGGAGGGGACTTTCTCCTGCTGTGGGCGTCAGAGCTTCGGAACGGCAGCTCTCAGAAGAGGAGGGAAATCCCACAGCTCAGGATGAACGCTGCCAGGATGGGGAGTCATATTCTGGAATTCACCTAGGCGGTGTGAACCCGGGAGGAAACAACCAACCAGGCGATGCCAACGCCCTTTAAAAGTCGGCTCTTAGAGTGGGGGCCCTCCGGCAGGTTATCTTGTCCCTAGAGGGGGCACGGATGGAGCCCACATCCCTGGGGGCACTGAGGAGTCTAAACACGGGCGTGGGGCTCTGAGTGACAGCTTAGTAGGTGCATGTAGCTCGGCAAAGCTTGACGGAGAACAAGCCGGGGTTGGGTCTCCCTTTGTGGGTTCAGTGCCACCTGGAAAGTTCCCCGTGCCTGTCCCCCAACCAAAGGCAGCTTCCTCCCCTGCAATGGACACCCTCAAATGTGCTGAGTCAGTGCAGCTCCTTTTCTCGCTGCGAGTTGAAGGCTCAGTGGCCACCTTCCCGTGAATGGGCACTAGCCTGCGGTATGTTTGTGTCCTGCGTGGACTCCATGCTGTGGACAGGGTGGCCCGGCTGCCTCAGGTCCCCACCTCCCCTCGCAGCTCACAAACAGGACACGCACGCGCCTTGCGCCCCGGGCAGCGCTGACGTTCAATGCTGAGTTTGCACGGAGGACGCGTCGCTTCCCACTGGGCAGGCGCTCTGGGTGCAGCTGCGAAGAAGCACGCGTCCTCGTCCCCACGCGAGAACGGCCTGCCACACACACTACCCCGCCAAAGAATAAGTACAGTACCCGCTTCTGTATAAGAATATATTATTTAAAAGGCAGTTTAAAAATAAAAATTCTGTACAGCATCACGAATTCCTTTTTTTTTTTTTGTATCAATGAACAAAATGGTTCTTAGAAAACGTGGTCGTGGGGTGCCAGGGGGTCAGGATCGGCTCTCCCTGCGTGGAGGGATCTGTCGGGTGGCCGGGCCCAGGACACAGCGAGAACACCGCGGCGGCTCCTGCTTCCTTCAGGCACCGTCTGCTTGGACGGAAATGGCTTCGGGTCTGTGTTGTGCTGGCCGTGGCGCACGGTCACAGGGTTACACACAGACTATGTTTGGAAAACGAGGCCATCGGACATAATGTTGAACAGGTTTTGGCAAAAGAAAACAATTTTGATCCCTTTCCCAAGCCATTCAAAAATACGATCTGATTTCGAAATGAAAAGCTGGCGCTGACTGCGGGCTTCTTTGTACCTGCTCTCTGCGGGGCTAACTGCTAACACAGCAACAGGGCCGGGCGGATCCCCTCTGGTTTAGAGCCTTGGCCTGCGGCCCCGAGGCCTCTGCTCCTCTGATAAAACCAAACCCACTCTCATGCCCGGCACCTGGAGTGCTTTATATACGCCTCTCTCGAGTGACCTGTAGCCACACGTGTGCTGTAACCTTATTGTTCTGGCCGAATGGGCTGCGTGTCTTCTGCGTGGACTGGCTGAACGGCTCGTGCCAACAAGCGCTCGGGGAAATGATCGCAGCGATGCGAGCACCCACTTCCTTTGAGAGGCTTTAAAAAGGCGTTTTGCCTTAGAAGGTGGTACACATGCTAATGACTGAGCTTTCTCTCTTAACGAAAGCATGCCCCATTCCTTCAGAGCCCCATTCCAGTCAGTACAGGCCAGGAACAAAAGTTGCATCCATTTAAAATGAGTGGTATTCAGATTTCCTCCCCCCACCTCCCCGATTCCAACCCCGGCTGGCTCCATTTTGGTGGGGACTACCCTGACCTCAATGCAGAACAGCATTACCTTCACTTTTTTTCACATCTCTGCTCTTCTCCCTCGACTTGTCGGCGCCCCCGCCCGCCAGGCCCTCGGTCTTCGTCTGTAACAGGACAGAGAAGGCGACAGTCAGGCTCGGGGGACAGCGAGTGAGTCAGGAGCTCCCTGTTGACTGAAGATGCTAAAATATGAAGTTGAGATTCACACCTGCAACCTCGTTGTGCTAGAACAGACGTGTGTGGGCTTTTCAGACACGGTTCTGCACATGGGTCCCCTTCCCCGCATGGGGGCCTCACCAGGCGCAGCCCGCCCGCCCTGGACGATGAGCCCACGCCATCTGCAGTGCGCACGGCCGTGGACTGGCGGTGGTGAGCGCGGAGTCCACGGCCCTTGCGCCTCCTTTCCCGAGCTGTCCTTTCTGGGCAGCCAGGGCTGGGACTTGGGGACTCAAGGCCTTCATGGGATGACTCGTGGGTGCCCCAGGAGAGTCGGGGCCCCATGGCTCTCCTGTAGAGGGCCTGGGCAGGGGCCACCTCTTCTGACCTCTGTCCTCTGTATCATTTGCCCTTAAGGTTTTGGAGTTTCAGGACCTGTCTGTCACCTTCTGCTAGAGTCTAACTAGAGGGACGGAGACCGCTGCCTGTTGTCAGCGGGCCCTGAAGCGCTTACTGAGCACCTATGGTACGTCCCGCACCCAGTGGGCTGAGAGGTGGGACAACTCAGGACGAGCCTCAGCAGGGCGTGGCGGGAGTTCCCAGTGGCACAGGCAGGTGGGGCACCGCAATGCGGGGGGCCCTGGCTGGAGTGAGCAGTGAAGAAGAGGTACAGAGTCAGGGTGGGGGGCCCTGCCAGGGTGGGGTGGGGTGAGGGCAGCCATGGCCAGATGGGGCCAAAGTATGAGGCAGCAGGGAGACTGTTCCGGCTGCATCAGGGCCCCTGGAGAGAGGGGAAGCCACACCTTGGGTGGCTGCAGGTCAGGTGGGAGGTCCTTGGTGGTCTCAAGAGGCAGGGGGCCCCGACGCAGAGATCTGTGCACCCCGGAGTTCTGACTGGGTCAGACTAACTCGAGGGACTTGGTGGGAAACCTCTATCCCAGCTCTGAGCCTGTGACCTGGACCTCCCCTGAAAACACTATCAGTCCCCAAAGCACCCTAAAGGCCCAGTCTGTCTCCCTGACCCCCGGGAGGGGCCGAACAACCGCGTGAGTCTGTGGCCTAGAACTGGGGCGTGGGTGGCAGCTTTTCCCACGCCGGGGGAGCGTCTCTCCCACGGGCTCTCACTGTGCAAGGTCAGCCCTGGGCAGAGGGGGAGGGGGAGGACCTGGGGCCGGCGCCGTGGGAGGGGATGGAGGTGCTGTGGAGGCTGTCGCTCGCTCACTTCCCGGGTGGCAGCACTGCCACCTGACATCTAAGCACATTAAGTTCCCTGATGTGATCCACCTGTCTTTTCTCTGGGTGGGAACCAGCGCCAACCAGAGGGGCCGCCCGGGTGACGTCAGCAGTGCGGATCCAACCCAGGCACCTGCTGGCCCGCACCCCGGAGGCACGTTTACCTCCGTCCTGGCGTCATCCAGTTGCTTTAGTTCCTCGTATCGGTCCCTGGACTCCCACAGGGGCTGCAGCATGCTCTCCTCCACCACGGGGAACAGCTGGAAGAGACACGGGCTCGCCATCAGTCCGCCACGGAGGGGACAGGGCACGCGTGGGAAACAGGCGGCAGGTCCTGTGTCTCAGTGGATCACACAGGGAATTTGCTTCCGTCCAAGGGGCGCTTTCGGAGCCCCCGGGGCATAGCCTGCTAGGGAACCGTCTGGTCACTGGTTCCCGGAGCCCCTCGCACCTGCCGCCTGCCCACCTATTTCCAAGGTCTCCGCTGTCTCCTGCTTTTCACAGGGACTGGGAGAAGCCACTCCTTCTGCCTCCTTTGTCCCCCGACTGTCCATGCTGCGCTTTCCCACCTTCCAAAGGCCAACTTCACCCATGAGGCTCCTGACAGCCTCAGAGGCTGGAGCAGACTCCGCTCATACCTGCCCTCCAGCCTAAGCGCCTCTCTTCCAGCCCATCTACCTGGGATGGTTCTCAATCTGAGACTCAGCACAGGGTGCCCCCCCCCCAGCTCCAGCCCTATGCAGCCGCACTCCCCCTTGCGGGAGGCAGGGTCTGGGCGTCACTGCAGCCCGAAGGCGCCAGTCTGCGGAGTGAGCGCTGGGTCCAGGAAGGCAGTTCCCGGAGAAGGGAGAGGGCCATGTGCGCCCTGGCCGAGGTGGCTCAGCGGTTAGAGCATCAGCCTGTGGTCCAGAGAGACCCGGGTTCGGTTCCCGCTAAGGGCACGTGCCTCGGTTGCAGTTTGTTCCCGGCCCTGGTTGGTCGTGCGGGTGGCAGCCACTCGATGTGTCCCTTTCACATGGATGTTTCTCTCTCTCTCTCTTCCTCTTTCTCCCTCCCACTTTATCTGAACAAAAAAGGGAAAAATGTCCTCAGGTGAGGATTAAAAAAAAAAAAAAAGAAAGAGGGCCACGTGTTTAAGGAAGGGTGCAGCTCTGGAAGACGGGCAGGCAAAGGGAGGATGGACTTGGAGGTACAGGTTGGAAGGAAGGCGGGGACAAGGAGCTGTGGGCCATCCTGCAAGACCGTAGTGCTAGGGAGGGTGGGGGACCACGGCCCTGTGTGGGGCAGTGGGGAGCCATGGAAGGTTCAGGGGAGAGGTGCACACAGTCTCCTTCCTGAGGGTTAGCCTGGTGATGACCACGTGCAGGGTGGAGTGGGGCGAGACGAGATGGGGACTGGTTCAGAGGTTCTTCTGATGTCCTGGGGGTGGGGGGCGTGGGGCGCTCTGAGAGGCACTGTGGGGGAGGTCTCCATGGGAGCTGGCAGGCTGGCCATGGTGGCCAAGAAAGGGGAAGCCAGGTGGCTGTGTGGCTGTGCTGCTGGGTGACAGGTCACAGGAGCAGGAGGTGGCAGGGTGAGTGGGGAGTGACAGGGTGCATTCTGGGTGTGCTAGTGTTACGGGGGAGGGCAACTTCAGGCGGGGTGGTGGGCAGGCAATCATGGCTCACATGCACATGTATGTGAATGTGCATGTGTGTACACGAGTGTGCGTGTGTGCACATGTGTATTTCTCACGGTCGTGTCATCCAGCGTGTGGTGATGGTCACTCACCTTGGTCACTGTTTCAAACATTGGGATCAGGACAAACTTGATGAACCCAATTTGGGCCGTGGCTTTGGTCACTTTGTCCCGGTCCATGAAAGGGGCCACGGGAAGGCCTTCCGACTTCTCGCGGTCGCTCTGGGGAGGCAGCAGACGGCAACATTAAAGAAGGAAACACAAGGGACCTGGGGACTCCGAGGGACCCTGTTCTTCGAGGAAGAGAAAAATGAGCTAATATGCCCCAACCAGCCAAACCGCTGTGCACTATGTAAATGAGTAATGACAATGACTAATTATTAGAAAAGATGATGACATCCCGAGTGCTGAACAGCGTGTTTTCTGGGTGTGCAGGGCCGTGCTGTGAGGGCCGAGGGGAGGCGACTGGCAGGGGCTAATTAAGTGGGTCACAAGGATGCTCAGTGGTAGCAGCCGCTTGTAGACCCCCCTCCGGGGCCTCTGGGGTTCATGAAGCTGTTGCAGCCAGTGGCTTATTATTCTTTGCAGCGTTCTGCTAGGCTGGCCTGGTTGTCTGTGTCGGAGCCTCCCCGGCCACCCTGGGGGCCGGTCTTGACCTCCAGGCCCTTGGTCTGGCATGTCCGCCCCTAAGAACGGCTCAATTAGTGGTGACAGGTAGCAGTCTGACAACAGCTTTTCCAGGTTGTTAGTCTTTCATGTCTGAAACTACCAGCCATTTCATTTGGGACGTGTGCCCATTGTGAAGGCTTTCTGTAGGCTGGAGACACGCCTGCGACCCGTCTGCTAGTCCACTGTGACACGTCTGTCAGGGCTCAAACATGCACCCCGTTTCAGGGGCCACGAGGAGCGAAGGGAGGCTCAGCTGCTGGGCATACGAGAGTCACATAAAATACTCTTACCTGCATAAAATATTCTTCTAACAGGCAGTCCACCCACGGCTCCGCTACTTCCATCGGGCGCACCTCGTTAGAGATATCACAGCACTTGATCAAAATCATCTTCAGCTGGAAGGGGACGTGGGGTCAGGTAGTGGCTCGAAGGCTGGAACCCACCACCACTGTGTGGGCTGCACTTGCCCCCAGGAGAGCGGCGGGCAGGTGGGTGGTGCCCTGGTGGTCTGCCTCTAGACCCGCAGCCTCAACTGGGGGGAAGGGGGGAGTCACTGCACCCCGCAGGATCAGACTGCTTCCCCGGACGGACCTTGAGTGGTTAAACAGCCCACGGAACACAGGACTCTCTGTCATACGAATATACATTGTAAAGTTCAGAAGTATCTCTTGATTGTTGATACAGAAAAAGGGTAGGGAGGTCGTTAGTGGTGAATGATGGAGCCCCTGCAGTCAAACCGCTAATTACTGACATCACGCTGCCTAAGGCACGAGGAGACGATTCCAGTCTTGTCCTAACCAGCCTGGGAGCTTGCACTTGAACTCTGCAGTCCCGGGTCAATGCCGGGACATACATCAGACTTCCTGGTGACCCTCTGCCTGATTACCTCTGAAGGACTGAGAAAGGAATGTTCCTGTATTCAGACTGCTGGGCGTGCCCAGACCTCTTGGCGTCCACCCCCGGACCGCCTGCTACCTGACTGATGACCATCCTGGACCAATCCAAGGGCAAGAATGCAGAACAGACTCTTCTCAAGAATGTACTATCTGCTGTAAGAACTCTTAGCTTTGCTTTCTTTCTGCTCCGGGACATTTCTGGGTTTTTGTACCTAGCTGTTTCCGGTGTGCAAATCATAAGGTCCTTGAGTAAATCTTGATTATTTACTTCTAGCCAAAACTTCCAGACTCTTATTGAGTTTGTTTGACATTAAGAATCAGAGGTGAGCCCTGGCCGGTTTGGCTCAGCGGTTAGAGCGTCCGCTTGCGGTCCAGAGAGACCCGGGTTCGGTTTCCGCTAAGGGCATGTACCTCGGTTGCAGTTTGTCCCCGGCCCTGGTTGGTCGTGCGGGTGGCAGCCACTCGATGTGTCCCTTTCACATCGCTGTTTCCCTCTCTCTTTCTTCCTCTCTCTCCCTCCCACTCCGTCTGTACAAAAAATGGAAAAATGTCCTCAGGCAAGGATAAAAAAAAAAAAAAGAATCAGAGGTGAAAAGAGTAATAAAAGTAGACAGTGCTGGGACCCTTGAGTGACAAAGTGGCACATTAGAAATACAGGGCGAAGGAGACCCACACGGAAGAGCAGAGAGGGCCCGAATCCACCCATCTGCCCCAGCAGGAGTGGCAGCTGCAGATCCCTCCTGTCCCGCCGGGTCAGCAAAACTGCACGCACGTCAGAGGTGGCCCGGCTTCTGCCCTCTGCTCCCAAGCCTGCCGGCTTCGCCGGGTTCGCCGGGGCTCTGCTCTGCCCGTGAACCCGGCCAAGCCAGCACCCTGCCGAAGCCTCCTCCTCCCCCACGGCCTTCCGGGTCCTGCTCTGGCCCCTCCTTCCAGGCTTCCTGGCCTCTCCAGCCCCCTCAGAGGCCCCCACAACCACAGCCTGTCCGTGCTGTTCCCAGTTGGGTGCATTTCTGGTCCTCCTAAGAGACCAACTCCCTCCAGCCTGCTGAGATTTAGGGACACAGTGGGTCCTTCAGATGGAGACCTGACCCAGCCAGGTGAGTGCCCTAGGGACTGTCTACGACACAAATGACTGTCACCCGGAACTGCTAGTGTTTGAGTCAAAGTGTTCGCTGCCACTCAGGGTCTGAGGCTGATTTGGCATGAAGGTCCCCCTGGGCTGTGGCCCCACATCTGCCTGGGCTGGTTCTCCAGGGGAGGGCCTGGGGGTGCGACCTGGCAAAGACAGCGAGTTCAGCTCAGGTCTGGCACAACGCCAGCTGACCCTCGAGGTGAGTGCTGCCCGTTAGCTGTTCCCTCGGGGGGCCAATCCAGGACTCGGGGGGCCAATCCAGGACTCGGGGGGCCAATCCAGGACTCGGGGGGCCAATCCAGGACTCGGGCTGTAGGCCGCCGGCAATCCAGGGCTCTGCCTGCAGGCCTCTGGGGGGACGCTGCCCCCGACACCAGGCTCGGGCCAGCCAGGGCTCAGCTGTCTCGGAGGAAACCAAGTCAGGGACTGAGTCCCCGCTACTGGGTCCCCAAAGTGCCCTCCCAAAGGCCAGTGTTCTGCGTGTTTCCTGGGCTGTGCTTTCTGGGAGCCCTCAGTGGTCTCAGGAAACCGGAACAAGATGAACGGCCTCGACCCACTTCCTGTCTTCAAACCAGGGCGAGCTGGAGGACGCGAGACGCTGCCTGCAGCCCCAGGACAGCCTTCCCAGGAGGGCTCCCGGGCGGGTCCCTGATAGAACCGGGACGTTGGAAACCAGCTCTGTTGACACCTCCTTCTAAGGTTAAGAATTCTGGTGTCTTGGTTTCCGGTCTGAGTGGGAGGGGAGGACTTGTTCACCAGTCCCCACCCCGAGAGGTAAGAGGAGCCTACTCACAAGGGTCGTGTGCTCCTCGTTGCTGTAGTCGAAATTCTCCATTTTCTCTTTGAAAGAGTCCATGATTTCCGCATGCCTTGCCATGTCCGTGGCCAGGATCAGTGTGATCATCCCCTGCAGAGCGAAAGAGCGGAGCATCAACACCAGGCGTGACCCCGATTCCTCAATGGGCACCGGCTCTGCACCCAGCCCTCTGCACACACTGTCATCGAGTCCTCATGTCAACTCGATGTGCATGTCGAAGAATCACTGTCCTCATTTTCAGATGCAGAGACTTGACGAGGCCGAGGGCCCTGCCCAGGCGGCAGCTGGAGAGCGGAAGCCCGGGGTCCAAGCCCAGGGGGGAGCCTGACGCCTCCCGGGGTATCTGCGCAGCGGAGCTGCGTCCAGGCCTCCAGGACCAGCTGCCTGTGCGTGGCCGGTGCTCCACCTTGGTTTCGTCATTTAGACACATGGTTTGTTCCTCCCAGATCTTGTTGGAGGTCAATGACCGATTTTCCAAGGGTATGTTTTCCTGGTATCTAATCTGTATGTGATTACATGTGTATCTATTGCTTGGGGATGATCAAAGTCTGATGACATACAATGGCATTCTTCTATGAACAAATCTGCCGATGAGGATGCAATGAGCTTTTAATATATTTTATTACCTTGGTAATCAAATAGTAGTTTAAAGGTAACATGATTCAAAACCATGACCATCTGATCATCCATCCATCCAATCCACTCACCCACCCGTCAATTTATCCATCTAACTTGTTCATTGTAACATCGTCTGTCCGTTGGTCTGTCCATCCACCCACCCACCCACCCCACAAGCATTTACAAATACACTGTGTGTTGAGTATGGTGTCCTACTTCTCCACGGAAATAAAACCACAGGCATCAAATGCAGAACTGAATCAGCCAGCACAGATCACCTCGAATGTGTTTTGAGGGAGGAGGGCCGCCATGGGCACTTTGGACGGCGCCCTCTCCTTGTGAAGATTTAACTGTGGAACAGGGGAGGCTCTGAGCCCGTGAGGAGTTAGCCCTCAGAATATTCAATGACGAAGTGTGATTAAAAACTGGGACAGCCGGTTTCACCCTCAGGAAAAGCCTCGTTTGAACGAAAAGCGCCGGACAGAGGCTGTCGCCTGCCCTCGGCGGACAGGACGAGGACGACCTGGGCTGTGGGGTACGCGCTGCTCCAGCCCGGCACCTGTCTCCCAGGGGATGCTGCGTTGTGCACGAAGGGGTTTCAGGTGCTCGATTCTCCGGGTCGAGTGGATCACAGGCAGCCAGCAAGGGCAGCAGCAATGCAGCGCTGTGTTGGGATTTGCCCCTCTACCTGCCCCCCAGGAAGGTCCCCTAGAACTTATCGGAAGAACTCACGGACGTGCCTGCTGGGTGGCTCCTGAAACGTGGGCGAGAGGCCAGAAAGCCTGGACATAGGAGAACTGTACCAGGAACCGGTGAGTCAGTACGGCAGTGATTAAACCCTGTATTTAGCTCTGAACTTCCTGGAAGTGGGGACGAGTTGGGAAACGACGTTTATGACGGTTTTCGGACAGAGCGGAGCTCGTCACCCCCAGACGGAGGCACGTGGTTTCCAGCTCGGGGTGCAGCCTGCCTATGCAGTGCGTCTCTGAGCGGGGCCACGGAGACACCACGCGGGCGAGCTCCTGTTCGTGGGTGTCAGAGCACAGCTCCGGTGCGACTGTCCTGAGGCTGCCAACACGGGCTGGGTGGCGGAGGACAGAGGGGTCATCTCAAAGGGTTCTGGAGGCCAGGTGTCTGGAACCAAGGTGCCACAGGGCCCTACTCCTTCCGGGGACTCGAGGGGCAGCTTTCCTGCTTCTTCCAGCTACTGGTGGCCCCAGGTGCTCCGTGGCTGTGTCCACGTCACCCCAGTCTCTGCCTGTGTCATCTCATGACCTTGTCCAAGTACCGGTGTCTTCCCCTCTTCTGTCTCTTACAGAGACACTTGTCATTGGACTCAGGCCCACCTGGATAGCCAAGCTAGTCCTAGCTCGAGTCCTAACTTAATTACAACTGTGAAGACCCTTCTTCCAAATAAAGTGATATTCACAAGGTCTGAAGGTCAGGAGGTGGACATACTGTATTTGTTTTTTTTGTTTTTTTTTGCAGGGGTGTAGCTACCAACCAACCTACTATATTCCTCCAAGAAATCACTCTGATATCTTCCCTCCCCCGTGAATGTCAGAGGGTGACGCCCGGTCGTGTTCAGCGGGACTCCTGTGTGACGGGCACTGTAATCTGTGGGGAGTTGAAGTGTTTGCCTCTCGACAGATGGTGCTCTCACCCTCCTCCCAGTGTCCCGAGAAGTGTCAAGTCGCTCATCTGAAGTGGACAGTGGGGCTGACTGGGTCAAGGGGAGGCAGGGACAGCGCCTGGGGGCTAGGGGATAGTGGTCAGGGCTCTGCGGGGTTGGACGCAGCAGGAGTGTCTGTCCAGGGCCTGCGTACTCACTGTGCTCTCGGATCAAGCTACCCAGGGTCTGCGGGCCTCCCTCCCTGGGCTGCCATGGAGAAAGGGCTCAGCTCACAGGATAAGTTCAACACTGGGTGCGAACTGCTGTCAGTGGGATCCCGGGTACACTTGCCAGGGGTGTGCACCTCTTCTTGGGGTGCTCTGTGGCCTTGGAGGTGGTGGGATGGAGGGCCCGTTCCCCAGGACCCTTGGTGGCACTGCTGTGACTGGGAGCTTCCAGGAACCTCGGCAACTAGAGAGGGGGTTCTCCCCTGGCCAAGCTCACTACCTCCCTGCAAACTCCCCTTCACTCTGTAGTCAGAGTGCTGCCCCTGCATACCTGTCTGATCTGCTTGAACCCGTCCGGCTGCAGGTTGGAGAAGATGTTGCACTCGGGCTGGGCGAGGATCTGGAAGGCCACAGCACAGTGGTGGTTCTCCAGTGGGGAGATGTCATTGTAGCGGACAGCCAGCTCTGTGCGGGCATTGATCTGGTACCTGGAATCGGGGGCGAGGGGCAAGGAGCCTCAGAGCCTGCACTGGAGGCACCTGGAAGTCAGGGCCACACACTGAGGTGCCGTAGGGGCTGGAAGACAGGTGAAGGGTCTGGTGCAGGCGACAGCCTCTGCCTGTGCCAGGAGCTCACTTCTCCCGGCTCCCCTGACTCTCTGCTGCCCTTCAGCGAGGTAAGCCCAAGTCCTGCCAGTGGACACCACCTAGAAATCTCAAGTTCTCCGTTATGATGCCCTGACGGTGACCAGGTCATTTGCTATGGCGCCTTGCAAAACATTTTAACACGTGCAGAAGGCAGACGCCTGGGCGAGGAATCAGATGCTGTGGTCCAGGCCCTGTGCTGGCCCATCACTGAGAGTGGGCAGCGAGAGAGTGGATGCCCACGGACTTCCACACCTCAGAATCCACTCTGGTCCTGATAAATGGCAGCAAGGTTTAGGGGCACATTCAAGGTTACCATGCACACAATAAAACTCGGTACACAAATGCACAAGTTTGGTAGAAAGAAGCCGTGTGTCACTGTGAATGCAAACCAACGCCACGCGGTCTGGGCTTCGGCAGTTAGGGGGGTGGAACTCTGTGCCTTCACCCCGAGGTGGGAGAGGATCTATGTTGCAGCAAAGGCCCCACTGCCTGGCTGGCGGTGGGCCCCCTCCCACCCCCGGTCGTCCACACGCCTCTTGCTCAGTCCTAGCCCTCGGCCTCGGCCTTGTTGGGAACAGGCTGGGGGAGTGAGATCCAGAGACTGGGGTACGGTGGACTGCCCGCAGTCCCGTCTGGCATCAGGCCCTGCTTCAGGGGGAGGGAGGTCCTGGCACCCCTCGGGCTCTAGGCCGCTGCAGAGGCACAGCCTGGAGCCAGGACCGCAGAGGGTGTGGCAGCCTCTTAGGGTTTGGCAACCTTGAAGGGGCCTGCGCCGGGGAGGCCCACTTGGACAAAGTCCCAAAGTGAGGAGCTGTGTCCTCGGAGGTGGCCCTGGGGGCTTGGAGGCCTCCGCTCTAACTTGGTACTGGTCTGAGTACTGAGCTGAACCGAGTGCCCTTTAAAAGGAAAAGTCATGCCCTGGCTGGTTTGGCTCCGTGGTTAGAGCATTGGTCCGTGGACCAAAGAGTCATGGGTTCGATTCCCAGTCAAGGGCAAGTATCTTGGTTTCGGGTTCGACCCCCAGCCCTGGTTGTGGTCCAGCAGGAGGCAAACAATCGATGTGTCTCTCTCACATTGATGTTTCACTCTCTCCCTCCCTCCCTTCAGTCTATCTAAAAATCAATGGAAAAATGTCCTTGGTGAAGATAAAACAAATAAAAAATACATAAGAGGAAAAGTCATCATGCACGCACGTGTTGTTGTATCCTGGATGGTCCAAATCATGGCAGATGGCTGCGGTCATTAGGGTCAAGATATCCATTTGGGTAAACTTCTCCTGGATTAGAGACAGGGTGGGGTGGGGAGAAGGGGGTGGAGTGGGTGGGAGATGAGCGATATGGGCAGGATGAAGCCCCTCCAGCCGCTGGCCTGGTGGGAGAGGACCCCCTCTTGGGGTGGGGTGAGGCGGGCCCACTTGCTCATTGAATTGGAGGGGCTTCACCTAGGAGGGCGCTGACGCTGATGGGCTGGGAGGTTTCCCTGGGAGGGTGGAGAAGCCACTAGGGAACCCCAAGGCTGTCCCCTCTGGGTGGGGCCACACCCCTGAGTGGGGTGCAGCACCCTCTGGGGGGCCCCCTGAGACCCACCTGGAGCCTGCAGAGCCAGATCACACTGTACATCATCTGGGCCACGCAGAAGCAGTGCCGGAAATTGTGGAAAGGGTTGGCCCTGTAGTTGTCATGCACGCAGAGCTGCGAGAGAGACAGGTCCTGGCGGCCGGGCCTGCCCCCTCCCCGAACTCCCTTCTAGCTGTTCCCAGGCTCCCTGCCCGTCCTCATCTGCCGAGGCCGACAGTGTGCCGTGTTTGCTGACGCTAAGGACGAGGTGGCCGGCAGAGGGCAGCTGTGGGAGGAGCCTCCCCAGGCCTTCACCCTGCGTGTGTGGACTCAGGGGTCTCAGAGGGTGTCTGAGGAGCCACACTGGGACGTGAAGCTGAGGGGTGAGCTGGGGGGACTACCTGGGTCCCTAGTAACCAACAGACCTTTACCAGGCCTTTAATATTTGGTTCTGAGCAATATTTTATTTTTAAAAAAGTCTGCTGCTAAACACACACATGCACACTCACAGTGCACACACACACATGCACACTTACACAGGGACACACTCATGAGTACACACACATGCACACTCACAGTGCACACACACGGACACACTCACGAGTACACACACGCACACTCACAGTGCATGCATACACATGCACACTTACACAGGGACACACTCATGAGCACACACATGCACACTCACAGTGCACACACATACACATGCACACTTACACAGGGACACACTCATGAGCACACACACACACACTCAGTGCACACACACGGACACACTCACGAGTACACACACGCACACTCACAGTGCATGCATACACATGCACACTTACACAGGGACACACTCATGAGTACACACATGCACACTCACAGTGCACACACATACACATGCACACTTACACAGGGACACACTCATGAGCACACACACACACTCAGTGCACACACATGGACACACTCACGAGTACACACACGCACACTCACAGTGCATGCATACACTCATGAGTACACGCACATGTACACTCACATTGCACACACACACATGCACACTTACACAGGGACACACTCATGAGTACACACACATGTACACAGTACACTCACACACATACTCACACATTAACATATACTCACACATGCACATATGTACACTCACACACATACACACACATGCACACACTACTCAAACATGCACACATATGCACACACTCACACACACACTCACTCACACACACTCCTGCTTTACAACACACTTTTGCACTGTCTGCCCTGGTCCTAACCATTGTCTCTGAGCTCTGGAGTGGATGCTCAGGGGTAGAGTGCGTGGTGGGGACACAGACTGGCTGAATGTCCTGGCAGAACTCTCATGAACGTCCAGTGCCATCAGGAAGGTGCCCAGATGGTCACTCCTGTGTAATTGGATGAAACTGTGTTCAAGAGGGATTGGAGGGGGCTGCCACTTACCAGCCACCTCTTGAGCGTGATGGGGTTGATGCTGAAGTCTCTGACCAAACCGAGGTCGTGGTACATGTGCTCTAAGCAGCTCAGCATCTGCGGGCACAGGAAGAGCAGAGGATGGTCAGCGGCACTGGGCCACCCAGCCCTACAGTCCCAGGCCCGGGGGTGAGCCCTCCCTGCCCCGGGTCCCCTGAGAGTGAAGCCTGTGACTGGGGGTTCAGTACCCTCCAGAAAGGATGCGGGTTTGAAAGAGTGTTCAGAGGTCAATGGAATTCTATGCAAGAGGGAATGGCAGGTGACTGGCTGACAGGGAGCACACTATGCCCAAAGGACCGCATCAGAAATGACTTCATTTATTCCCACCCAGCAGACAGCATCCCAGCGGGTCAGCATCACCGTCGAGGTCCTGGGACTCGGCTCCGTCTAACACAGCCCTGGGAGCCGTGTCACACAGGGAGAAAGGCCCTTCACGTGCCTGGGCTGGACGGTCAAGGGGCTCTGACCACTTACATCCTGAACATGCTTCACTGCATCCCTCCGGGGCCACGGGGACTTGAGGTCACTTAACGTGAAGGTGAGCCGGTTCTGGGCAAGCGTCCCCTCCCAAACCTCACTTCACCGACTATCTTCTAAACAAATCCCTGCTCCCGTTGAAACGCATTTTGTTTTCAGTCCCAAAGAGGATTTATCACCTATTTAAATATAGCTCAGAGCCTTGCAGCTAATTAAGTGGGGAAAGAAAGATTTAATCGTTTTTAATAAATGAAAGTCTGACAAAGCAGGCTTTGCTTTCTGGGAAAGCAGGTCTTCGATGGAGAGCCCAGGGAGACAGATCTGCAAAGCAGAGACAATTAAGATGTCACCTGGGAGTGCAGAGCATGACACCGGCGAGTGCTGCTCTGCCCAGGGCCACACACCTGTGCCCTCCCTCTGTCACATCCGCCAGAGGCCCCAGTGCCTGCACAGACCTGGCAGGCCCTCAGGACTGAGGGCTGCAGCCCCAACACCCCCGCCCCGCCCCCACCCGCCAGCCCATGCATCGCTCCAGGCAACCCACGTGCTGAATGGAACATTTGCTATGAAACCAGAGTCAAGAGTTGGAGATGCTCGCAGACGAAGCCACCTGGTGCCACGTCTGAGGCGTATGTGGTGGGTCTGGAGCAGGAGTAACACGGCTGAGCATCTGTTCCCTGGCCGCCCGGACGCTGTGGCAGGTCCCAGTCAGACAGCCGGACGATGGGAGGGTGGAGGACTCAGGACATGACCGGGAGGCCCAGCCTGGAAGCCCAGGCTCAGCGTGGTGGCCACGCTGCTATTCCCAGCCCCGGGAGCTCTGACGCAGCGTGCGTGCCGGACAGCAGCAGCGTGAAGTCCTGGGCTCCTGCTGTGTGATGGGGGAGGGCGGGGCGGGTCGCTCCTGCTCCAAGGGAGAGAGCTGAGCCACCACTGGGGGTCCTGACGTTCTCAGGGTGCGAGCTGCTTTGTGGTTGGCCAGATGCAGTTTTGGGGGGCCAGGGAGGCTGTTAAAGTTTTCAGGTGTGACCCTTCGGTTGGTCATCTTTGCCGCCCATGGTCCAACATTCACTGTGCCCCAGACTTTCTAGAGGCCAGGGGGCCCCGTTTTGGGGCATCTCGGGTTTGTCACTGGAGGCAGCTGGGAACTTTCTGGAAGTGCCAGAGCCCTCACGAGCCTCCCAGTGCCGCTGATGTGCTGGTGGGAGCCCCAGGCCGGCAGGTGGCCACACAGAGGCCGAGCCCACTGCAGGGAGCTGCTTGGCTCCTCTCATCCCTGCCTTTGTGGCCGCTACACACACATCCCGCATACGGGAGGAAAGGGAGGCCGCCTTCCCAGTGTGGATTCGGGAATCCTTCGACCTCTCAACACGAGGGTGCGTCCCCTCTCTGGTCACACAGCCCTGAGCTCAGAGGAGACACGACAGCAGCAGGTGCCACACAGGTGCTTCGCTCCTGCTCCTGGTGCTGAAGGCAAGATGACGTCAGGACTGCGATTCTTCCAGATGTCTCTGCTGGGGGTGCCGGTCCACCGGCTGGGAGCAGGGATCCGCACGTTCCAGGCTGTGTGTCCCCTCACCCATGGACAGGCCAGCCAGGGGCCCCGCTCGCAGAGAGGCAGTGAGGCCACAGGTCCTCCTACTTCTCTCGTTTCTCCAGGCCACGTGGCCTCCCGCACCCGGTCCATTTCTGATGGTGCACGGATCTGCCAGGTGATGGCTACACACTTAAAACGCCTCCTGCTCCTCAACATCCCCGCTCCTGTCCTGCAGGCTACCTGGTGGCCAGATGTTGTGAAGCGCACGGGTCCCCTGGTTCAGTGTTTGCTCTGGGACAGTCCCCTGGACACAGGCCGGCTCTTCCCAGGGTGGCCATGTGGGGGAACCTGTGGGTTTCTGGCCAGTTCTGCCGAGGCCTGTCCTTCACAGGGAGAGCAGGAACAAAAGCACGCACACGGCTCCCTCGGGAGACGCTAGCCCCTGGGTGCAGGCCAGTGCTGGGGAGTGTTCGGGTGCCGAGACCTCCCTCCGTCTGCAGGGCTGTCGCCGCCGCGCTCGTCCAGGTGGGTGGCCTGCGGGCAGCGGCCTTGTGTGCGTCTCTGTTACTGGAAAGCAGGAAAGAGTCCGTAGATTTTGGTGGCCTGAGGTCTGTGATGAGGGGCTTTGTGTTCTTTTTTTTTTTTTTTTTTTTTTTTTTTATCCTCACCCAAGGGTATTTTTCCATTTTTTGTACAGATAGAGTGGGAGGGAGAGAGAGGAAGGGAGAGAGAGAGAAACATCGACGTGAAGGGACACATCGAGTGGCTGCCACCCGCACGACCAACCAGGGCCGGGGACAAACTGCAACCGAAGTACGTGCCCTTAGCGGGAACCGAACCCGGGTCTCTCCAGACCGCAGGCCGACGCTCTAACCGCTGAGCCAAACCGGCCAGGGCAGGGGCTTTGTGTTCTTGAGGTTCGGAAGGAGAAGGGTATGATTGCTGTAATTAGGTAACTAGACCAAACAAAGAAAACCTTCTCTTTTGTGTTTTCTCAGCAAAAGGGAAATTAAAAAAAAAAATTGCTCAGTGCCTGGCCATCCCAGATGCTGTACCCGGGTGTGTCCGGGGCCACAGCTGCCTGCCTGCGCCTTTCCCCAGCACAGGTCTCCCACAGAAGCCCGTTCTTGGGGGGCTGGATCTCCACAGTGGGGGGGGTCTGTTGGTAGCTGCTGGCCAGCTGAGAGGATGTTTGTGGGGTCAGCAGACGGCCCCTGGGGACTCACGACAATGCCACAGTAATGCTCCCTGGAGGGAAGCACCCGCAGTCAGGACCAGGGTTCGAGGCCCCTGCACTTGGCCACCTGCTCCTCTGTCTAACACCCGCTCCTTGAGTTCTGTCCCCAAGGCCTCCCTGAGCCTACCAAGAGTGAGTTTAGCTAAAATCTGGAGAATGAAGTTAAAACACACGAAAGGAACAGAGAGGAGAGTGATGGGGGTGCCCGTCAAGTTCCGAGACGCTGGTCCCAGCAGGCTCCCGCACTCACCTCGTTGGGCTCCCAAAGCCACACATCAAAGGTCGGCTTGCGCAGGGCCTCTATGGTCTCTGGGGACAGCAAGTACTGGGAAGGACAGAAGGCAGCATTAGCCTCCGTGCTGTGACAAAGGCTGGTCACCTCTGGTGGGCGGCAGATGTCTTCTCCTGTTTCCCCTCGGGGCACCTGTGTACAGACCTGAAGGCTACACTCTACAGGGACTCTGAACGGGCCACTCTAGGGCCAGAAACCCCTCCAGTGGCTGCCCGAGGCAGGGCACAAGCGCTGGGCACGACCACATGGGCACGAGAGACCATTCTGGGGTGACGTTAACGCTCCATTCCTTGACTGCGGTGGCCATTATGTGATCACACAAGTGTGTCAAAAGTCACAACACAACACAGCTGCAGAAGAATGTCACTGCGCGTCAGTTACATCGCAATAAACCTGACTTGGAAAAATACAGTAACACGAAGTCAAGGGGAAACAGTGACTTAGCCTAAATTCCAATACTGGCTAAGAAGCTGCTTTGGGTGGGTGTCCTTTTCAGGGAGCCCATCCCTGGGTTAGCTGCGGCCGAGGCAGGTTCTGCGGGGCACCAGAGTTGGGGTTAAACCACCACAGGAAACAGAAACTGCGACGTCAGACTCCAGACAGTCCTGGGGTTTCAGGATTAGAGATCATGTTCTCCCAGGTTTACGGGGTTTCAATTTTTTTTTTTAAGGAACCACAAAGAAACACTGAAACCCTCTTTTTGGATCTCGGCTGGGCCTTGTGACTCCTTGGAGCTAAAATATGAGCAATTTGGGCCACACTTTTCTACAGAAAAAACACAAGTGTCCATCGAAAAACCACGGACAACCCCGTGAGCAGGCGGGAGCCTGAGTATCAGCTCAAGAGGGTGTTGAAAATCGCTCATCAGCGGCAGGCACTTTTGAGGGGTGACCACCACCCTGAGAACTTGCTTTTGTATTTGCTTAAAGACCCACCTCCCCAATTTCCAGGGTACTGCTGTTTTATTTATTTATTTATTTATTTATTTTTATTTTTTTATCCTCCCCTGCGGACATTTTTGCATTTTTCTTCAGATAGAGCAGGAGGGAGAGGGGGAGGAAGAGAGAGAGAGAAACATCGATGTGAGAGAGACACATCGAGTGGCTGCCACCCACACGACCCCAACCAGGGCGGGGACAAACTGCAACCGAGGTACGTGCCCTTAGCGGGAACTGAACCCAGGACTCTCCTGTCTGCGGGCCGACGCTCTAACCGCTGAGCCAAACTGGCCAGGGAGGCACTGCTGTTTTAACAAGGGCCTGGGGTCTCTTGTAACTGAGAAATCTTTTGTGATAGAAAGCAAAACTTCTCATAACAACAATGTATTGTTCAGGGACAGGAGATCTAATAAAGCAGATTTAAAAAAATGTACTTAAAAATTTAGCCATTACCTCCTGGCACAGTAAGCTATGGCCTGGGACCACGTTTGCTAAACGAATGTCAAAGAGAAAAATATTCTGCTTAAGAAGAACAGGCCTATCCTGCGGGGCTGGAGCTGGGTTTGCAAATGTGCAGACATCAGGGGCCTGGCCAGGAGGCCAGGCGGCCAAGGCGCTGGGGCTGTGGTCACAGGTGCTCTCTTCAGAGGCAGAGTTTCATCTTACCTTGGGATACGTGGGGACATCACGGTGAGGTGTCAGCTTCTTGTTGTCCAAAAAACTGTACTTGCAGGGGCAACTGGTCCTACACGGAAGAGCAAGGATCAGTTCTGGCACTGTCCCTCAGTGTTGGTGTTCACGCGGGTAGGGCTCTGTGGGGCCCCCTCAGGACAGAAACAAATGAGAAGCCCCACACCGAACCCGGAGCACCCCCACAGACCTCTTCGGCTGTATTTGTTGTGGGAGAACAAGTCGGAAAGCCAGTGAGGGCTCATTGCTAAGCCCCCAGGGACCCAGCTGGGCCTCTGTAGATAACTGGACTCTTGGGAACAAGCAACTTCGTTACAGGAAGCTGGCTGCTGGAAACTTTTTTCAAATGATGAAAGCAAAACATTTTCATTCCAAAAATTTCCAACAGTATTTATTTACATGTATTGATTTTTTGTTGATCCTCACCTGAGATAGTTTTCTACTGACTTTTAGATAGAGCGGAAGGGAGGGAGGGAGAGAGAAACATTGATGTGAGAGACACAGTGATTGGCTGTCTCCTGCACGACCTTGACAGGGGCTGGGGATGGAACCTGCAACCCAGGCGTGTGCCCTTGACTGAAAATCGAACCCTCGACTTCGGTCCGAGGGCTGACGCTGTAACCACTGAGCCACACCAGCCAGGGCCCAGTGTGCTTTGAAACAAAGATGGAGTTGGACAAACTTACTCTTCGGCAACTAGCTTTTCCCACTGAACACACCACAGACTTGCTGGGTGTTGCTTCACGAGCTCAATGTTATTAGCAGCAAATCCTCGGTGCCCCAGGGTGTGGCCGCACCGCGTGTTATCAGTCAGCCCCAAGCTGGACTTCCAGGACGTCTCCAATTTTCCCACTACATACAGAGGAATCTGCCATCTGCCCATTTTCTCCATTACTCAGTGCCAAGGGATCCCACATAGGAACAAAACAGGAGCAGCCCGGTGTGTTCTGGGTGGAAAGCCACCCTCTGATATGGGGGAGAGTGTGCTGGCCTGTGGGGTCGTACCTGGAGGCTGGGTGTGGAGGGCCACCCCAGGAGATCTGGCCACTCTATGGCCCCCTCCCCACCTGGGGACCTTAACTTTCTTGGACGTGAACATGCTCTCCACCCTCCTGCTGATGGGCAGTACGAGGACTGGGGAGGGGTCTGTACCCCTGTTTGAGATTCTCAGGCTGGTGGGCAGGGGGTCAGCACATCAAGGTGCAGCTCGAGCGGTTTGTAAATGAAGGCCGGCCTTCTGGGAGAGCCATGTAGTACCCTATAGTAGGAGCCGCGGAGCATTCCTATCCGTTAAGCTCGGATTGAGCCTAAGAGGAGAACTGGACACAAGCCAACAGCCCTGCGCACAGAGGCGTTCATCGCCACGTGGTCTGTGGTTATAAAACCACCAGAACAAACGAGAAGCTACCTAAATGGCCCCAAATGGGAACTCATTCAGACCATTTTGGTATTGTGCGATCTTTAAGATAATTAAGAAAATGATGTAAAGTGAGGAGATTTTGGGTGAGAGGGAAAAAGAAACGTCGGGTACAGTATGTACTGAACGAGGGCGCTGAGACAGGCGCCCAGGTTGGAGCAAACAAGGGCACTCCGGGGGGTGGACAGTGAGTCCGGGCTGCGCCCTCTGCAGGACGCACGAGCTGGTGTGGCTTAGATCTGACCTGTTCATCGCTCACGACGCCGCAAGTGAAAAAAGGTGATGACGTCATATTTCTTAGTTGTTTTCCAAAACTAGGTGTCTATACACAAAAAAACATCTGGGAAGTCAGTGTCCAGATTTCAGTTGGGGACACGGTGGCTGCTGTCACTTTGGTGATTCACCCCCTCATCAGGATAGTCTGATGGTTTTACAAGGAGGCTAAGTTGCTTGCAAACTCAGAACAAGAAGTCTATTTCCTTTTTTGAGAAAAGAGCCTTCAGTGCTATTTTCTTGGCATGCTGCGATTCCTCCCCTCAGCTCGACGTTTACAAAACCACTCGAGTTGCCTGTGACAGCTTCCTGTGTGGAGGGGCCTTAACGAAAGAATAACAAAACGAACCAACAAAAGGTACCAACTAAATGATTTCCACTGTCACCCTGGAAAGGAGAAACGCAACGTACATATTTCTGAGCAGCGAGGAACTTCGTTTCTGCACTTAAGAACAGATAGCATCATTGTTATCTCTTTTCTGCTTTTAACCTCTTTAAAAATATAATTTTTTATGGATATGTTTAGAGACGGAGGAAGGGAGAGAGAGACAGAAACATCAACGTGAGAGACATCGATCGGCTGCCTTCTGCTCGCCCCGTGCTGGGGATCAAGCCTGCAACCGGGGCATGTGCCCTGACCGGGGATCGAACTAGGACTTCTGAGTCCGTGGGATGACGCTCAGTCCACTGAGCCACACCAGCCCTGCTCACCTCTTTTGTATAAATATCCACACACATGCCGTGTGTTTCCCGGGAGGGCTACGGCCGCTTCACCAAGCAAGGTGGCTGGACCGCTGGAGTCAGCTGCTTCCCTGAAAACCCAGCATTGAGAAGCGTCTGCTGGGCGCCTGGCAACTTGTGCCAGGCCCTCTCCACCTCTCCAGGCGGCCCTGCCTGCTCCCTCTGCACCCTGTTGCCATGGGAACCAGCATCCTCCAGCTGACAGCAGCTGGCATGGTGCCTTTTCTTTTCATTCTATTTGGGGCGTAATTTTCCTTCATTTCCTGGGCTCTCCGCCTCTGCTCCCCTGGGGCTCAGACCATTGGTCAAGGCCATTGTTTGGGATGAAGTACAGGTTACAGAAGCCCAAAGCCCTCAAAAGCCACCCATGTTCCTGTGACCTTCCCCCGCCCTGGGTCGACCAGCAAGCTCCACTCTGTGCCCTACGTTCGAGCAGGCAACTGGACCCCTTTCCTCGTGGGGGAAAAACAAGAGAAACCCCGAGGTTGTGTGTCTGGAGGTGTCTGTGAGCCTGCCCCACCCGATACCTGCTCCTCCCCAAGAGGAGAAGGGGATCCGATGCCTGCAGACCCTGGCCCCGAACCCTGTTAGGGGTGCTGTGTGTGGGTGGACGTGGCTCAGCACTTCAGGCTCAGTAGCTATTGGTTCGTAGGTACAGGGGGGCTCAACTGGCCAGGTGCCTTTGTTCTCTCTGTCCTCCCAGAGGGGCAGGGGTGGGTGGACATCACCCAAAGGGCTGCTCAGAGGTGCATTTTCTCCCCTGGCACTGCAGGTGAAGTCACACTGAACAAGCCTGTCCCAGGGACACAAATGATACATGGACCCCTGCAGGACTTAGATGGAACCCTGCCATTGACAGACAGAAGGCAGTACAACGACGGGTTGTTCTGCTCCTCACAAAGTTTCCCCACAAAGAAAAGGGAAGGCTGTTCTCGCCGGCACAGAGGGGCTGCAGGGCTCCTGGGCCGGACCCGGGGGGTGATGCTGTGAACTCACCCTGAGCCAGCACGCGGACTTCTCTGTTCTCAGTGTGTCCGTGATGTTTGAGCTCTCCCACCCCCGTTCTGTTTTTGACTGAAGAGGCACATTTACACGTCTCTCGTCTCGCCCGTGTGGGGTGCTGTGACAACTCTGCTGAGAACATTGCCTTTGGAGGTTAGGACACGGGAAATCTCTCTGGATTATGGAGCTGTGAGCTCTAGAATGTGCTTGGGGGGTGGTGCAGAGGGGCCCTGGAGTACTGTGCTGAGCCCCAACACCCACTCTATCTCAGCTCGGCTGACCCTGCCCCAGGGCGGGGCCTGCAGATGACATCTTGTCTCTGGTCCCCAGGTTGTCTCTTCCTCCCAGGTGCTCTGAAATTAGGTGTATTTTCCCCATGTGGTGTGTTGTGGGCTGCGTTGTATCCCTCCAAAGTCACATGTTAAGGTCCTAGCCCCCGGACCCATGTGTGACTTCATTTGGAAATAGGTTCATTACAGATGTGACTAGTTAACATGTGGCTAACAGGAGGAGTGGGCGCTAATTCAACACAGCTGGTGTCCTTTTCTAACAGGGGCATTTGGACAGACACACGGGGAGTCTGCCGTGTGAAGACAGGCAGCGGAGACGGGAGAACTGTCTGTACACTCCAGGGAACCCCAAGGGTTGCGGGCACTGCCAGAGGCTGGGAGAGGCCTGGGAAGAGCCTTGGGGGGCATGGCCCTGCCGACACCTTGACCTCAGACCTCCGGCCTGCGGAGTGATGACTGAATACATTTCTATTGTTGTAAGCCCCCAGTTTGTGGCATTTTATGACAGCAGTCAGGACACTAACACAGCTTGGACAACACGTTGCTTTTCCACTGGCACCTGACCCGGAGGACCAGAGCCCGCCAGAAAGCCCGCCGGGAGCGGCACACCCTCTGCGTCCGCCCGGCTTCTCCTGCAGGGGAGGGCGGTGGAGGAGCCAGGCCCCTGGACACGGCGGGGGCGAGGCCAGCGAGGCTGGGCTTGCAATTCGCCCTGGCTGCCTCTAGCAGGTGGCACTTGGTCATCTGAGAAGGGACAAGAGGCTGCAGAAGGTCTAGTGCTCTGTGGGCTCCGTGGACAAAGCTGCTTCCGGGTGAGGTGATGCCCACAGAGGTGGGAAGGAACCAAGGGGGACACCATCTGGGCAGGGGTCCTCCAGCCCATTGTACAGAATAGGGGCTGAAGCTGAGAGGTCACGCAGGGGGCCTTCAGTGTCAGGCCGAAGCCAGAACTCGAGTTGAACCCTCTCCCTCTGGTGCTGCCGGGTGACTGGAAAAGCCCCGGGCCCGACCCACACCCCCTTCCGAGGCTACCTGCTCCACTTGGCCCCGGGCAAAGGCCCAATGTGCTCCTCTCAGTGGGCACCGCATCGGGCCACTGCCCTCCTGCCACTGTGGACGTGACGCTGGCCATGGCGGCCAGTCTGAGGCCCGCTGGAGAGGGGTTGGGCTGAGCACGGCCGACAGGGCCGGGATCACTGGGCACTAGGACTGGCCACAGGGTGGAGGCCTGCATGTGGCGGCTGGGGCACGTGGCCAGCCAGAAGGCTAAGCTGAGCCATGCTAAGTCCTGAGTTGAGGGTGACACCATGGCAAAGGGTCACATCAGGTCTGAGCAACCTTCCAGCTGCCAAGCCAGGTTCCAGCCCCGGGGGCCCAACTCTGAGGACCCCCTGTTCGGTGTTGACTCTCTGCCTGCCTGGGGTCGTCGCAACGCAACGAACTCCAAGCAGAACGGCTTGGAGTGAGGGGGGCATCGCAAGGGAGCCAATGATCCTGATCTCTGGATGCAGCCCAACTTATTTGTAAAGTGGTTCCCTTGGGTATGTGGTGTTTTAGGTAATTAGGTCCTCGAGGCTGTGTTTCCGTTGACCTTACGGTCAAGTCCGGTATACTTGTTGCTCCAGCTGTCTCTCGGCGGAGACGTAGAACGAATACATTTACGCTTGGGCGATGAGCCCGTTGGCACTTTCAGGGGGCTCTGCACATCCAACACGCGCGCTTTATCTGTCCTCGTGTATATTTCGATCATACTGTCAGGGCGGCGCCCCGGCCCTACCCTGCATACTTTGATGGATACCTTCCGGGCGGCTTTCCAAACCCCACGTGTGCGAGAATGCACACCTCCAGGTTACATTTTGTGCACTCACCAAACCCCCAACCCTACAGTTCGGCAGTGATGTTAGTGACCAGAACCACCTGCTGCTCTGTACCATGGGGGTGTCTGCCCAGGAGTGGGACCTCTGGGGCACCAGGACACTTGTCCTCTGCAAGCCAAGGGCCTTTTCTTTTTATTGTTCCCTTTCTTCAAAGACCGGTGTCAACTCCTTTCAATCTGGGTAGATCAATACTAACACTTTGCCCTGGAGGCTTATTCCCCCGATAGGCAGTCCCAACCTCGGCCATCCTCTTTGATGCTAAGAAAGCTCTTCAAATCCCAAGGGGAGCAGGGCTGCCTCCCTGTGCTCCCCCAGCCGGAGCTGGATCGAAGGCTCCAGCTGTGTTTTGGGGAACACAAAGACCAGAGCCCCCCGACCCCACGTGGAGCACCCCCAACGCGGACCTTACCTGTTGCTTCTGGCTGCTAGCTCCTCCCTCATCTTTTTAATGTCACTCTTGCATTTCTCAATCTCCACCACTTTTAGTCCTTCCACTGTAACAAAGAGAAACAAGGGGTTACCATGGATATGCAGGGAGGCTTGCTAGGGCGGGTAAGTGGGGGCCGCCCGCCGTGTCCCTGGAGCAGAGCTGACTCAGTGCAGTGGCTCCCACTCCTGCCCGGCTGCTGGCATTCAGGTCCTGTCCCTCCGCCCACATCCAGCTCAGCCAGTGACACGGCATCGTGGGCCTGTTCCGTGGCAAGTGTGGGCTGTCGCCTTCATCCGTGGGTTTCTACAGGACGGAAGCCTCTCCGCCCTGCTCCCTGAATCCTGACTTCTCAGGCACCCTCTCCCAGCTTCCTCTCTCCACAGCCCTACGCACGAGTCGAGGACATGGGACAAGGGGTCTCCAATACGAAAGAGGAAGGGGGGGACGTGGCCGCAGGGCAGGAGGGCTCCATGGGAAGAGCACAGCCTTCCCGGCAGGGACCCCCACTGCACTGAGTAAAGTTTGCGCTTCAGGGCCCTCCCTGGAGCAGTGAACCAGGAGGTTAAAACAGGTGAGACAGGCCGCTCGGTGAGCAGAGCCTGGCTAGCTGGACCCCGAGTCCCACGGCGGAGGTGGGCCGGAAAAGCCAGGGAGTGCTTTCGTCCAAGGATGAGCTGGGGCTGCGGCTCTGAGCCCGGCCCACTTCCAGATGTTCACTCTGGAGGCCAGAGGCTTTGGGGAGGCCCTTAGAGTCATTGACAAGAAACAGGAAAGATTGGCTTTGTCACTCTGTAATCACACCTCCATTTTCATGCAGAGACGAGACCAGGATGCCACTCTGTTCCCCTTTTCATCAAGCCTGGCTCCGAATACGGCTAAAAATAAAATGCTGTGATTTCTGAGGAAAACAAATCCACTCGGAGATTTCGGCGGTTCCTCCCACCCCCAGGAAGTGCTTTGGCTCCAGAGCACTCAGGAGACTCTCCAAGAGCAGCTGGGCTGGACGCATGACCTCCCTGGGCAGGTTTTCTAAATGTCCCCAGGGTCAGGGGCCAACGGGGGGCCAGGCTATGTGAAAACACTGCTTCTTTCTGCGTAAGTGACCAGAATCTGGAAGATCTGATACTCAAGGCCGGTCCTGGCGACTTGCTTCTGCGCCACGCCTGGGACACTGTCCCTCTTCTACCAGGACATGGGAGCAAAGTCTGGGGCCTTAAATGCAAGTGGTTGGAACCAGCCAGGTGGCCGTCTTGGTGGCTGAGGCCACGTACTAGTGGCCAGTGGGGAAAAGTGGGAACTTGACGTCGGGTATGTTTCTGCTTACTCATCGGGAGCACACACCCTTCGTTTTGGAGTGCGGTGTTCTTGGCCCTTTTTGGCATCGCGGCCCAGGGAGGAAGTCAGAGAAAGCCGCAGCTTCTCTTCCAAGGAAGGTCGCGTCAGTACGCACCCTTCACGGTTTGCACTTGGACAGGGTGGCCTCCCACGCACTCCCAGACCTTGGTCCACACTGCAGGACGATCACCCCGAGGAGGAGAGAGCCACAGTGGAGCTGTGTCTGGGGGGTCTGCCAGTAGGACACCCACATCAGCAGATGGTAGATTCGACATCGGTGACGAGAAGGGGCCCAGTCTTACCAACACAGGAGGGGCAGCAAGTCCCGCAAAGTGAACACATCTGGAGAAGAAACCTGGCAGGTGGTATAGACTTTGATCCAAAAGTGAACAGATGTGGGGGACAGATGAAGCTGGCAGGGTAGAGCCCACAGGGCAGCTGCACCCAGTTACATCGATTATGTTTCAAACATCGTTTTACACAAAACAACGCATGATAATTGTAGAAAACAGGAAATACGGAGCATCTCAAAAAATATTTTAAAATTCAGCTGTGCTGCCCTGGCCGGTTTGGCTCAGCAGTTAGAGCGTCAGCCTGCGGTCCAGAGATACCCAGGTTCGGTTCCTGGTAAGGGCGCGTACTCGGTTGTAGTTTGTCCCCGGCCCTGGTTGGTCGTGCGGGTGGCAGCCACTTGATGTGTCCCTTTCACGTCGATGTTTTTCTCTTTCTCTCTCCTTCCCACTCTACCTAAACAAAAAATGGAAAAATGTCCTCAGGTGAGGATAAAAAAAAAAAAAAAATTTAGCTGTGCTCTTACTGGGGCAAAGAACAACCTATTTAATATTATATATATCGGCACGTATCTTTCCAAGCATTTCTGTGCTCTACCCATGAATTCTAACTGTCTATGCTTAACCTTCAAAAGACAAAACTGGGATCATGCCATTTGTTCTGTTTTCTCCCAGTATCAGTAAGTCGCCTCCTTGGTCATGGTGTTTGGTGGTGGGTCATGTTTGTATTGATACTGGAGGGGATGTAGATCAGACTCCCTGCCCATTTATTGGGGTGTGTGTGTGTGTGTTAAAATTAAGCCTTTTGGGCCACACGGTATAATATCACCACTTTGAACCCCACAGATTCAGCATTCATGGCAATTTCCTATATGAAAGGCGAGGTTGCCAAGGAAATTGATAGTGAGTCAGAAGACGGCAAAAGTCGTGCATTAATCAGAGGAGGAGAAAAACCCTGAGGTTAAAGAGTGGACCGCGGGGCAGGTGGGCCGAGATGGTGACAAAGCGCACGGCAGGCCGGGCTCCAGCCGACGGGGCCCCTGCCTCCCGGTCCTGTCCCAGCCCCTGGACTGCTTTGGGACGAGTGCACAGCCCACCTCCTGGACCCATTTCAGCCCTGCCTGCCCCCTGCCAGGGGAGGAAGAAGGCCCCTCCGAGGAGCTGGGGCCTCCTCAGCGAAGAGTTCTGCACAGACTGGGTGAGATTTGAGCCGAGACTGGACATCAGCTTCATACACCGGCCCCACTCATCCATCTTGAATTTAAAGAGGTGGGCACAGACCAGAGCCCCAAACTAAAGAGAGGCTCCCCCGCCCCACCCAGCACTGGACTCAGTTTATTCTCTGCTGCCAGGCCCAGCGGGCACAGCATGGGCACAGCATGGGCACACCCGGAAACCTGGCTGTCCTCGCGCACACTTTAGAGGTGGCTCCACGGGCAAGTCATAGGCCACCGTGAGAGGGAACCTTTCAGGGTGATTTTCTAAGAGGGACGCTGGCCTTGGGGACAGGCCCTCGGTGGGCGGCAGCAGCAGCACGGGGCACAGAGGCAGCTCTGTCCTACGCTGGCCTCCAGCAGCCTCGCTGGGCTCATGGAAGAGGCCCCCGGGGGCAGTGAACCCCCTTCAGCTGCAGAGCGAGTTAAAGCTGTTTACAGCCACGTGAGCTGTGTTTCAACACTTCCTCCAAGGACTTTGGTAAAGAAAGACATAAAGCACATTTCCCGAGCGACAAGGAGAACGTCGAGGTTTGGTTTCAGCTTCGAGTCTCCTGGGTTGCTCGCATGACCCCCGGGGCCAGGTCTCCCTGCATCAGGTTTGGGCCTGGCCCAGCGCACAGGCTGCCCGACCGCAGGGACCCGTGCGGCAGCCAGTGTCCAGCAAACAGGAAGTGAAGCCACTGTGCCGCTTCATCTCCGACCAGGAAGCAGGTGAGGACCTGGGCACTCTGTTTACAAAACACTCTCAGCTAAGCAGCCCCAGACTCCCCGGAGGAGGCAAACTCTTTACGTGAAAAGGAAGGAAAGCTCTCGAAGAGAATGAAGGAAATGGAGAAATTTACATTTGACTCCGAAGAACGATGTTTGACATGGTGGAAAAACAGCAGGAAATGCCATTAAAAACAAGTCAAACAATGTAATGTCGCCTACAGATGGTCAGCGCAAGCGGGCCGCCTCCTTGACCCCGAGAAGCAGAGAACAGCTAGCAGCAGCTCCTACAGACCAGATAAATGTGTGTGTGTGCGTGCACATGACCGTGTGTACGGGTGTGTCTGTGCCTGAGTGTTTACACGTGTGTGTCTGTGGGGTGTGCAAGCATGTGCCTGTGTCTATGGGTTTACACGTGTGTGCATGTTGGGGTGTGTATGCATCGTGAGTGCCTATGCCAGTGTCTGTGTGTGTTTCTATGTGTGCATGTGTGTGTGTGCATGTGTGTGGATCTATATCTGGCCCGGGCCCAGCAAGGAGGTGGCAGTCATGTTCCTGGCAGCCTTCCCAGTCCGGCAGCCCAGGCCAGCCTGTCTGACAGCTGTGCTGGGTCAGGAATGACCTTCTGAAGAGCTGGGATGACCTTTCTCCCAAGTGATCTCCATGAGAGGTTCAGCTGCAGGATCCCTCTCCTCGAAAGGATCCCCCTTTCCCCTTCCTGGGTACCTGCCATGTCCCGGTTACCACATCCTTCGGGTAAAGACACTGCTGTCTCCGGGGCCTCTGGCGAGACAACCCTGCCACCTCTGTGCCAGCACAAGGGCTGTTGGAGACTGGGCAGCGGCAGCCAGAAGTGCCGGGAGAGGACCAGCCCAAAGCCAGGACTCGTGGCCACCTCCTGGGGCAGTGACCTCACAGGCCATGCTCCTGGCAGGCGGGCAGCCAGGAGGAGGTGAGGAAGCCGGGGCTGGTGGGAGCAGAGACTCCAAAGTGGGGCCGTGCGGGACCCACTGCCAAGCCCACAATTCTTAGACTGTCCCCCCTGGGTCCTGGTGCTAGAAATGAGCACCACTAGTAAAAGGACCAGTAGTTTAGACCTGTGCAATGAGCCTGAGCTCAGCGGAGGAAGGTGACGCCTCTTCCGGGTAAAATTTGCAGGATTTTGTGGTTTACTCAAAGGCCCTGCGGGGAGATGCCTCCCCGACGATGAGACAGCCAGTTCTGGAGAATTCCGGCGCTCAGACAGGGCAGGGGAGAAGGTCCTATGGCTGCTTCCTTCCATGGTCCTTAATTCACATGGCACTTGAAGGCAAAACAAAACCTCTTCCTGGCCCGATCTTTGTCTCCACGGCCAGACGCTGGAAGCCACCCAGGCTGAGGTCAACGTGGCTCTCTGTAGGGGTTTGAATATTCCTTCATGGCCTCTTCAACTTGCCCGTTTGCAAGGAACGGTGGGCTCTGGAGCGGGCTTCCGCGTGGGAAGCGGGAGGCGGGAAGAAGTGGACCGAGCTGGAGGAGAGGAGGCACTCGCTGTCCCGGACACGTGTGCCTGGTGGTGACCGTGACTTTCCCCTCTGTAAACGCAGGCGGGGACTCGATAGCAAACACTCTCATTTTCTGTGTTCTTTGGCTCAACCTCTTCCCACGTCTGGAGAGCTCCCTGCTCTGTGGGGCTTGGTGGGAAGCAGAGCTCACCTCCCCCTCAGAACGCGGAAACCCCAAAGGCTCACTACAGGGGCTTGAACTGTGTCCTCCCCTTGCAGAGATGGGCTCACATCCTCAGTCCCGGAACCTGGGAAAAAGGTTCTTAGAGGATTTCTCGGGATGAGATCATCCTGGATTAGGGTGGGTCCTAAAACCAAAGACAGGTGTCCTGTAAGAGATAGGCGGAGGGGACTTGAGCCACAGAAACACAGGAAGAGAGGCCCTGTGAAGATAATTTCGGGTGACTTGGCCACAAGCCAACCACGCTGGCAGCCACCAGAAGCTAGGAGAGGCCTGGAACAGGTCCGCCAGCCTCCAGACGGAACCGGTCCAGCAGACGCCTTGATCACGCCTCCTGGCCTCCAGAATTCATTTCTGTCATTTCACGCTTCCCGGTGCGTGGCACTTTGTCATGACAGCCACAGGACACCAGTGCACTTTGGCCTCTCTTCCTGCTAGGGTGAGGGCACACGGTCCTTCTGTCCAGACTTGGACTCTGTAGCCAGTGCAGGGAGAAGCATCCTGACGGCCGTAGCAGTGGCCCCGGGAGCTGTGGGGGGCTGAGAACAGAACTCGAGGTGCTGGGCAGGTGCCACACACACGGGGCTCAGATACAGCAGCTCAGCGCCCTCAGAGAGTCAGCTCTCCTGGGATTTGGGGCATCCTTCCTGAAGCTTGGCTGAGCCCTATACCTGAGCCCTCCTGGTGGGCATGGGTGCCCCCCAAAATCCTTCTGAAAAAGCCCCTTTTCTTTTCTTTATTGATTTTAGAGAGAGAGGAAGGGAGAGGGAGAGAGAGATAGAAACATTAATGAGAGAGAACTTGATTGGCCGCCTCCTGCATGCCACTCACTGGGGATCGGGCCTACCACCTGGGCATGTACCCTGACCGGGAATCGAACTGGCGACCTTTTGGTGAATGGGTCGATGCTCAAAAGCTGAGCCACGCCAGCCGGGCTGAAAAAGCCCTTTTCTGTTCAATTTGGCCCCAACCAGTGTCTGTGACCACAGCTGCAAGCCCGGCTGCCTGCAGCCTGCTTCCTAACCTACGTTCTCAGGCGCCCTGAGGGCCCGGCCAGGGTAGACGGAGGGGTCGTGTCACAGAAGGACAGGCGGCAGGCAGCGAGCAGCCGCCAGGGCCCTGGCGCTGGCCCTGGTTTATTTCCTTTGCTGCTCTGCTGAGTGAACTTGAGCAGATTACTTATCTCTCATGGCGTCTCTCGTCAGTGGGGAATAAAACCGTTTTGAAGTTCCAATGGTGAAAATGTCAACGCACTTGGGAAAGGAAGACTGTGCAAATCATGTCTGACGTCATGTAGGTGGACTGGTTTTCACATGATCCTGAGTTTCTTTTCTTGAAAAAAAAAAAAAAACCCAAGCAATTCATATAAGATGCTGAAAGGTGACATTCAGTGAAGTCCTATGAATACGAATCAGCCAGGTGGTGTTGGGGGACCCTGATGGCCTCAGGCCTGGATTTTGTTTCGTCATCCCCGAAGTTAATCAATACGGCTGCCTTGACGTAGACGGGAGCCTTCCACGCAGGACTCGGGGGGGGGGGGGGGCGGTGAGCACGTGGGATCCAGCACAGTTGGATGAGGACAGAGCACACATGACTTGAAGCTGTTTTCCTCCCAGAATTTCAGCTGTTTGGTCACCGAATCAGACTTGAATCTCCTCTCCTTGCTCATCGGCAGGTTTTCTGCTTTTCACTGTGGTAACAGGGAACCGAGAGGTGATTATAGTGGAGCTATTCCCCCACACTGTGGGTCCGCACGTCTCGTTTATGTAAAAGCACAAAGTCTTCAGCAGAAAGCCCGGTCCAGAAAGGTGTACTCGGAGGACTTCTTGTTTTCCTTCTGCTCTCTGCACCCACCGCTGCGGCTTTCCATGCTGCTACTGTAGCATGTAACCAGTTAGGGGACTTGTTACTTTTAAATGCTCGGCTGTTTGCCGGTCTAGCCTCCTCGACACTGAGTTTTAGGCGCTTCACACGGGAATGGCATCGCCTTTCCCTTCACCTCTCACCACCGGTTTATGAGGATAACTGAAACGGGCTGAAAGACACACAGACACACAGCGAAAGGAAAGAAACCCCACTCACGCTCCACGCGTTTCTCTAGCGCTGCCAAGTGATTTGCAACTTCAGCCTTGAGTTCGTTGATTTTAAATGCTCTAGGAATGAACAAAGAAGACAAGACATAAGTCATAAGAGTCTCAGAGTTAAAAAGGGTTCAACAAACAGCCACTGAATCACAGGCGGGGGCAGGGGCGGGGCGGGGCAGGGGAGGGGCGCACACAAAGGAACTAGCACTGTCTGCGGGTGGAGGGGAGCAAGGAGAGACACCCTCAGACTATCTGGAGGGGTATTTCCCACGTGGGAACACATAGCGGTACCATGCCGGTGGGGATGCTTCCTTCCTATACTGGGGGTGCTCTCGAAGGGGATGCTTTGCTCTCAGCCGGACAGCCTGACCTCACCCCTTCCCCTGGGCACAGACCACCTTCAGAGGACCTCGTGTGGCCTCTCCAGGCTCCAACCCAGTCAGTCAAACAATTCTGGGGCTTTAAGAAAGTACACCCATACTTCTCCCCATCTGCATTCCCTGGGGGGCAGTGAGATGCCACCGTGAAATATCTGAGGACCAGCAAGTGTTGGCTCTGGAGCTGGAGAAGCCCAGGAAGACAAGTGCCCAGGAGCTTCGTGAGAGCCTATTTCAGAATGGTCTCGGGGCTTGTAGCCCGAACCCCGAGTCCCAGGAGAGCCAGTGGAGAAAGACCTCGGCCACGTGGGCTCTCATTCTAAAAGTGCCCACTTCACACAGCCTTTGATATAAGTGTTTCCTGGACCCTGGCCAACTGGCTCGGTCACAGAGCCACTGCGTCTGGAGAGCAGCCCCTCCGGTAAGCGTCTGCGGCCGAGAGGGCCCCGGGGCGGGGGGGGGGGGGCTCCGCCGCCAGAGACAGCGAGCACATCTCTGCAGAGGTCGCACTGGAAAGTCTGTACCTTGAGAACTGCTCTGCCACCTGGGTCAGCACGCTCTGGATTAATTCTTCTTTCTCTACAGACCGAAAAAGAAAGACAGCTGGGAAAAGGAAAGGGTCTTGGGATCAGTGTGGACTGAATTCACCGGCTGTGGGCAAGTGTCACTGATGTGGTGGTGAGGCACTGCCTGCCTTACCTGGGCGGAAACCCTGGCACCCCGGCAGCACCCTGGGACCTCTCCTGTCCACTGCCAAATGCTTTCTGTCCTGGACTGCTCCAGGTCACCGACCTGTCTTTTAGTGGCCTCTCGGCAGAGCGGCCAGGGCTGTGGCCCTCCCATTGTTGGCACCGGCTGTAAAAAGCAGGCAGGACTGGATCTCTAAATAAGGGGTTTTTCACGGAGTGCCCTGGTTCATTTTATGAGGGCAATTACTATGACAGAGCGAGTTCAAGGCATATTTCAAGCGCAAAACACGATGTTCCCATGGCGGGTCCAGAGAGCGGAAGCAGGCGGAAGTCTGTCCCTTTGTTGCCTGGCACGCAAAACTGGGCTGGGTGACTGGTTTACAAGGCTCAGGTCCCAGGCTGAATATAACCTGCCTGGTTTCCTGTTTCCTGACAGGCCCGCTGATGGATAGCTCAGAGGAAGGTGTAAATGCTCCCAGACCTGCCTTTTCCATCAAGCCCATGCTCTTGGACAGGGAGCGACCGCTGCTTGGCTCGCGCCGGCCGGCGGTTCACGCCCTAAAGCACTGAGCCTACGGAGGCTTAGTCCCGACTCCTTGTAAGCGGCGTGGGCTCTATGCCTGGCCCTTCACCGAAACCAGAAGAAACCTGCCAAACAAACACACACCTCAATAATCCAACTGGGCAACGAGGCTCAAACGCTGGGAATGTTCACATGCTCTGGTCTAGTGTCTCCATTTCTAGGAAATTACGTGCACAGAGATACCCATCAGCGTTACCTCACATAACGACCGGTCTCTCCATCGAAAGGACAGTAAATAAATGATGACATGTCTGTACTGTGGAATCATATTCTGCTATTAGAAATACTATTTTGGAAAATGTTCTATTTAATGTTAAAGCAAAAAAAAGAGAGAGAGAGACTGTAAAACAGTATGAATCCATTTTTGGAAACATTGGAGGATATACTCCAAAATGATAATAGTAGTTATGTTTTGTTTGTAAGACTATATGTACATTTTATTTTCTTATTTTTCCTCTCTATCTTATACATTTCTATAATAAGCACATATTGATCTCATTAAAAAAGTTAAAAAATTAGTAAGTCTAAATTAACCCCTGAGAACTCATCCGTTCACCTGCTGAATGAAAGGGTAGACCAGGTGACCCACGGTTCCCTCTGGCTTAAGTATTCTATGACTTGATGAGAAGAAGAGAAACGACATTTTGTTACATCTCTGGAAACTCTAAGAGTAAAAATGTCCACCAGGAAACTTTCACAGAGCCCACGTCGAGCTGCTGGCTGATCCAAGGCCCTACGCGCCCGAGAGGCTCACACGTCCTGGAAGCCAACTGGGCGCTCCCCTGACGAGAACCACCCGTGAGAAGGTCTCGCAGGCCTTCTTGGTGAATCAGCAGGGTTTCAGATAACTTATTCTGAAATCTTTGGCAGGAGCAATATATCGCTTAAACTCCAAGAGTTAATGATCTCTAAGTCTTGAGATAAATTTAGAAGGCCATCAAACAATCGACATTTATAGACTGCTCCACCTAACAATAGCGGAACACATGTTCTTTTCAGGTGCCTACGAAGCATGTACCAAGATAGACCACATCCTGGACCATAAAGAAAACCTCAACAATGTTAAAAGGACTGAAACCATATACAGTATGTTCTCTGGCCATAAGAGAATCAAACTAGAAACCAGAAACACAGCAGGAAAACCTCCAAACACTTGGAAACGAAACAGCACATGTCTGAGTAATCCACGGATCAAAGAGGAAGTCTCTGGGAAAAGTTTAAAGGCATCAAACCAAATGAAAATGAAAATATAATACATCGAAATTTAGCCGTGAGCCAGCGAGAGCAATGCAGAGAGGGACACGTACTGGACAGCACCAAATGCTTACATTAGAAGAGAGGAAAAACCCCACTCGATAATCTGAGAGCCCAGAAAAAAGAAGAGCAAAATAAATCCACAACAATAGCAGAAAAAAGGAAGGAAATAATAAAGACCAGAAATCAATGAAATGGAAAGTGTAGAAAAATCAGTGAAAGGAAGAGCTGGTTATTTAAAGATATCAGTAAATTGACCAACCTGAATACTGACAAGGAAACAGAGAGAAGACACAGATCACCAAAACCAGAATGAGAAAGAAAAGATCACTCCAGACCCTCCAGACATGGAGAGGGTTATAAGGGAACGCTAGTAACAACTTTATACACATAGATTTGACATCTTAGATGAAAACGGACCAATTCCTAGAAAAACATGAACCACTGCACTCATCCAATATGAAACAGGTAATCTGAACAGCCTATCACTATTAAGAAAATTAAATTTCTATTTAAAAAATTCTCCCAATAAGCCCTGGCCACTTTGGCTCAGCGGTTACAGCGTCAGCCTGCGGTCCAGAGAGACCTGGGTTCAGTTCCCGCTAAGGGCACATACCTCAGTTGCAGTTTGTCCCCGGCCCTGGTTGGGTTGTGTGGACGGCAGCCACTCGATGTGTCCCTTTCACGTCGATGTTTCTCTCTCTCTCTCTTCCTCTCTCTCCCTCCCACTCTGTCTGAACAAAAAATAGAAAAATGTCCTCAGGTGAGGATAACAACAACAACAAAAATTCTCCCAAAAGAAATTTCCAGATGCAGATGGTTTCACTAGAGAATGCCACCAAACATTTGGAGAAGAATTACCACAAATCTAGACAACTTCTTCCAGAAAACAGAAAAGGACGGAACACTTCCTGATTCATTTTATGAAGCTAGTATTAACTTGATACCAAATCCAGACAAAGACAACCAAAAAAGATAACTACAGACTGATAACCCTCATGAATACCCATGTAAAAGCCCTTAAAAATAATGAGTAAATAGAGTTCAGCTATATATAAAAATAATTATACATTAAGAACAAGTAGGGTTTATTTCAGGGATGGGAGGCTGGTTCAATATTCAAAAATCAATCAATGCGATCTACTATATTAACAGGCTAAAAAGAAAAAAAATCATATAATCATGTCAATTACTTCATGAAAAGCACTTGAAGAAATTCAACACCTGTTTATGATAAAACACTCAGAATAACAGAAAAAGAGGGGAACTTTTTCAAGTCAATAAAAAATGTGCAAAAACCCTGCAGCTAACGTATTAGCAGTGAAGACGATGCTTCTTGCCGGAGTCTGCAGAGCCCCGGTCTGCTCACTGCTCTCGGCACAGGGCTGGCCCTTCAGTGCAACTAGGCAAGAAAAGGAAGTCAAGGGCATGCAGATCTGACAGGAAGAAATAAAAATGTCCTTGTTTGCCGATGACATAATTGTCTACAGAGAAAATTCCAGGGGATCTACGAAAACATGGTCTTAGGACCAGTAAGTGAGTTCAGCAAGGTCACGGGATACAAGATACGCACATGCAATCAGCTGTATTTACATATGTTAGCAATGACCATATAGTCACTGAAATGAAATCACGATGCCATTTATAAACACTTAAAAACACTTCGGTACGAGTATAACAAAGCACATGCAGAAAATATATGCTGAAAACCACAAAATACCCATAAAAAATCTGAGGAGATAGAAATAAATGAGGAGAGACCTACCTGGAAGCTTCAATATAGTAAAGATGTCAATTCTCCCCAAATTGATAGACAGGTTTACACAATTTCTATCAAAGTTCCAGCAGGATTTTTAGAAATAGATGATTTTCTAACATTTATATGGAAATAAACTAACTAGAATAGCTAGAACAATTTTGAAAACGAAGATAAAATGGGAGGAAGCGCCAATCTACTTTTTTTTCTTTTTATTCCTTACCCAAGGATATTTTTCTATTTATCATCAGAAAGAGTGGGAGGGAGGGAGGGAGAAAGAGACAGAGAGAAACACTGATGTGATAGAGCCACATCAACTGGCTGCCTCCTGCACGACCTGATCAGGGTCAGGGATGAACCGCAACTGAGGTTGGTGTCCTTGACCAGAATCGAACCTGACACTCATTGGTCCAAGGGCTGACGCTCCAACCACTGAGCCAAACCGGCCAAAGCACGCCAATCTACTTTTTTTTTTTTATCCTCACCCGAGGACATGTTTCCATTTTTTGTTCAGGTAGAGTGGGAGGGAGAGAGAGGAAAAGAGAGAGAGAGAGAAACATCGACGTGAAAGGGACACATCGAGTGGCTGCCACCCGCACAACCGACCAGGGCCTAGGACAAACCGCAACCGAGTCACGTGCCCTTAGCGGGAACCGAACCCGGGTCTCTCTGGACCACAGGCCAACGCTCTAACCGCTGACCCAAACCAGCCAGGGCCTTTTAAGACCTATTATACAGCTACAATAATGAAACGGTGTGATGTGGGGAAACATACTGAGGGGCAGACTCGGAGCTCAGTGGAGCAGGACACAGACCCAGAATCCCGCCCACACAGATGTGCACAGCTGATCTGGACCACGTGCAGAACGGAGTCCTCCCAAGGCAGTGCGGAAGCAGTCTAACATTCCCAGGCCGAAAATGAGCCTCACCCGAACCCTCACAGTTTATACAACAATTAATGAGGAGTGAATCACAGGTGTGAAATAGAAAAAACGATAATACTTTTAGAAAATCAGTGAAAATCTTCAGGATCTTGGGCTAGGCAGGGAATTCTCAGACTTGACATCAAAACCACAGCCCATAAAAGGAAAAACGGATACCCTGGACTTCATCAGAATGAAAACGTTTGTTCTGAGAAAGAGCAGGTTAAGAGGATGAAGAAACAAGCTCCAGTCTTGGAGAAAATATGTGCAAAGCACACATCTGACAAAGACTTGAATATAGAATATGAAGATAACTGTCAAAACTCAACAGTCAAAACAAAACCACCCAATTTGAAACCGTGCAAGAGACACTG